TCATCTTAGGTTCATGTCCACTGTGAGAGACATAATCTAAAAAAAAAAAAATAAATCGGAAATCACAAAGTATGATTTTTTTTAAATAATTTATTTGTGTGTTACTGCTGCAAATAAGTATTTGAACACCTGTGAAAATCAATGTGAATATTTGGTACAGTAGCCTTTGTTTGCAATTACAGAGGTCAAACGTTTCCTGTAGTTTTACACCAGGTTTGCACACAATAGGTGCTGACCTATTTCTGGATAACTCCTGATCGCTCCTCCCCCCTGGAGGAGAACGTTCTCCCTCCACAGCAGTTTCCACGGTTGACCCAATAACAGATGCTCCAGGTTTGGGAACCACAGGGCGCTTACGCCCTCGGGAGCTACAAGGATGACTGACAGTTCTTCCTCCCGGACTCTGTTCAGAATTTGTGATATTAGAGGGACTGGAGGGAACGCGTAAAGGAGCGTTTTTGGCCATGGACTGTGGGTGAAGGCGTCCACTCCTAACGGTGGGTCGTCTCGTGGGCTCAGTGAGAACCATAACTGACACTGGGCATTCTCCCGTGTGGCGAACGGATCCACTGCTGCTCGGCCGAACCTGCTCCAAATCCGAGAGATCAGCTCGGGATGGAGGCTCCAGTCTCCATGGTGAGGACCGCCCCTCGACATTATGTCCCTGTTCAGGATGCCGGGAATGTACACTGCTCTGATGGAGAGAAGGTTTTTTTCGTGCCCAACACAGCAGCTGTCTCGCGATGCGTAACAGTTGGGCTGAGCGCACGCCTCCCTTATGGTTTATGTAAGCTGCAGTCACCTTGTTGTCTGTGTGACTCAGAACACGCTGATTCCACAACAGGGGAGCAAAATACTGAATCACATTCCAAACCGTGAGACATTCTAAAACATTATGTGGGACAACGTGTGGGCTGGCCACTGGCCTCCGCTTGGGACAGACACGTTCCTCCCCAGCCTGACAGGGACGTGTCTGTGAAAACTGAGACGTGTGACGTAGGTCTGCTGATGGGAACTCCCTCTGACAGAATGAGAGGGTTTCCCCAATGATTCAGATCGGTTCTCACAGAGGGGGGCACAGAGATCATCCGCCTCTTCTGACGCATCGGATCTATGCGCAGGTGGGCGAACCATCTCTGAATGCATCTCATTTGAAGTAGGCCCAGCTGAACCACAGCGTGGGCTGATGACATCATTCCCATGAGTCTCATGACCGAGAGAGCTGTTACTACACTGCGGGGTTTGACGCGGCGGAGCTGAGCTGACAGAGCTTCGGCTCTCGGCTGTGATAAGCGGGTTCTCATTGTGACTGAATTTAGCTCCACTCCCAGATAAACAATCATCTGGGACAGGAGAACCGAACTCTTTTCCCAGTTTATAAAATACCCCAGGTTTAGCAGGTGTAACGTCAAAGTTTTGGTTTGTGCAGCTGCTTCCTGTCTGGATTGAGTTAACAGCAGCAGGTCATCCAGATAAAACAGAATTCTCATTCCTGCCCTGTGTAATGGCTGCAGAGTCGTCTCCACGCATTTTGAGAACGGGCGTAGGATGAGGGAATAACCGAATGGCAGCCTGTTGTATTGATACTGGATCCCCTGGAAGAAGAAGCGCAGGAATTTCCTGTGCTTCGGAATGATGGGAATGTGAAAATATGCGTCTTTTAAGTCTATGGAGGTGAACCAATCGTTCTGGTGAACGTTGTCCAACAGCTGTTTGGTTGTCAGCATGTGGAATTGTCTCTCCATGATCTATTTGTTGAACATGGACAAGTCGAGAATGGGTCTCATCCCTCCATTTTTTTTCAGCACCAAGAAGTAACGCGACTAAAACCCCGTGTTAATAATAATCCCTTTTCCTTAATGTCTATTGAGGAAAAACTAAAGGTGAAGAGGTTTGGGCCGGACTGAGGATATTCAAATCCAGCAAAGAGAAAATTGTGCTGTGTAACGTGCTGAACTTGGCCAGATATTAATTCAGCTCGGTCCAAATAATATCAACCTGTCAGTTCGTTTTTATTCTTCTTATAGTTTACTCTGCCTTGTGTTTAATGATGACCAGAAGACGAGAGTTGAACTGAATGCTGTTTAATCTGCATAAAAACAAAACGTGCACTGGTCAGAATCTGGGCTCATCGCAGCGGCACCTGGTGTCGTCTTCTCATTGAATGGACCTGCTGCTGTACAGTACACCTGTAACAAACCTCTGTCTAAACGGAGCTTATACACACACAAGAAAGTTCTTTAAATTATTTTTTAAAAGGTTAGAAATATGAGTCTGTTAAAGAGCAATTTGTAAACAACATTAAAATAAAACTTGCTCGGACACGTCAGCTCAGAAGTGAAGGAGGGTGGAGCACGCTGTATAAACAAAAATCAGCTGTTCCGACCGAAACTTCAAAATAATCTGCCACTCACACACTCCTTCACGAAATTTAACACCAAACAAAACTGAATCTTCTCACTGATTTGACTTTACGTAGGAAAATAAAGATTCTCTGAAATAAATCAATTTCACAAATTTCATACGAGGAAGAGAGATCTCTCCTGCACAAACTCTGGAGCTCCACCGGTCCTGCTGCGTCTCTCCACCTGCTCCACCTGCTTCACCTGCTTCACCTGCCACACCCCCCTGCTGTCAAACTCATGTCTCTTTTTATAAGTTCGGGAAAAACTGTGACCCAGTTTTCTCCGTGGATACTTTGAGGATAAAATGCATATCTGCAAAACATTCTTGCATCTATAATAATACAAACATTTTATTTGTATTTAATTTATTTAGGTTTTATTCTCAAACCCTTTTTTTTTTTTCCACAAAATACTTTATTTTAGTGATGATCGCCATCACAACCCTATGACTTCTGTAGTCAGAAAGGTGTTTCAGCACATTGAAGGAAAAAAAAAGTATATATATACATACTTTGTATATATATATATATATATATATATATATATATATATATATAGTCTATTTTGGAGTTCTAGTCCCCCGGTGGAAACTCCATGAGCCGACATTGCACATTTGTTAGTAAATGCTTTAACTGATCTTTAATCACATTTTAGTGCAATTTTATTTTTATGTGTGTTTTTCTCTGTTGTTTGTCTTCTTTTATTTCATTATTAATAATTATTATTATCATTATATTTGCATATTAACAAAATATTTAGAGTCTGACCTAAATATATATATATTTCAAGTTAAACATTTAGCTAACAAGTTGAATATTTAGGATGGAGATAAATATATAGTTAACAAGTTAAATATATATTATGGAAATTAAATGTTTAGTTGGTAAAATATATATTTAGGTCCGGGCTAAATATTTAGTTACCAAATTAAATATTTAGTTTAGGAATTAAATGTTTAGATTAGAAATTAATTATTTAGTTTGGAAATATTTAGTTTTGAAAATAAATATTTAATTTATAACTAAATATTTACAAAGTAACTTAAAACACTTTTGTATTTTGTGATTATGATGATTTTTTTGATGTGACATACTTTGAATTTTAAGTTGGAATAGAAAAGTGTATATGTGCATCTGCACAGCAAAGGGTTAACCTTCACAAAACAGATGCAGAAGAGAAATGTGTGCGTCCAGAGAAGGAAATCATGACACACATGGTGCAAAATCATTTAAAACTATTTATTTTAAATAAACAACCCATGACTTATCCATCAATCAGCCAATTGTGTCATGTCAGGATATTGTCCACGTCACCCTCTTCACTGTGCGATGTGGGACAAAGAAGAATATCTTGCTAAAATTACATATTTTTTAGGGATGCACCGATTGCAATTCTCTGACCGATCACCGATTTCTAAAATATCCGACCTGCCGATTCTGATTTTGGCTGTTACCGATTTTGTTTTCATAAGTGACATTGTCAGGAGTTATAAAGTCACAATGCACCTTCAAATTTCCAATATTATTTTATTGAAAAACATACCCGTGAACAATATCCTAGAAACAATACTAACTTGTTTTAACTGGCCATGAGGTAACACTCTGAAATATTAATGAAGTTCAGACAAATCTTGTTAAAACTTAAAAAAATCGGTAAAATCGGTTTTTCCAAAATTAAGGAAATCTGGGCCGGCCGATTTATCGGCGCACCCCTAATATTTTTAAACATGCTTATTTTCTTTTTTTCCATTTTATTTCACAGGATACTTTCTTTACTTCTTTTTTAGGAACAAATACTGTCTCTTGTTTTGTTGAGTTGATTTTAGCACCAACTTTCAGTAGTTTTAATTAGTGCATGATGCACGCAGCGTTTACTGTGTTCTTTTTTGGCTCTGCCCTCCAGTCCGACTCCCACAATAAAATGGTTTAAGAAAGGTGGAGATCTGCCAGGAAGGAAAGTAAAGTTTGAAAACTACAACAAGACACTGAGGATCATCAACGTATCAGAGGAAGACATCGGCGAGTATGTTTGCATGGCCAACAATCATCTTGGCAGTATCCGGCATTCTATTTTTGTTGAAGTTAAAGGTGAGGAGTTGACTAATGAAACGTTGCCTGCTTATAAAAGATTGTGTATTACCATGCTAGTCTGACATTTTATGTTTCACAGCGGCTCCTTATTGGCTGGACAAGCCCACAGACCTGGTTCTGGCCCCAGAGGACAATGGCCGCCTGGTGTGTCGGGCAAACGGCAACCCCAAACCCACCATTCGGTGGTTTGTCAACGGAGAGCCGATAGACAGTACGAGCTCTTTCTCTCTGACTGTTAAAAACTAAATAGTTGGATTTGATTTTTATATTTTCCTTTAAAATGTAATGATGTTGCCTCAAACTTATTGCTACATTTCGGTGATACACCACCGTTCCAGAAATGATCTAAATTACAGTCAGAAAACAAGCTGAATAAATTTAAACCAACATTTTACATCAGATAAAATCACATTTTAAAGGGTCTGTAGTATTTAGGTTTATTCATCAGGTATTTTGTTCTCTTAAGGGCGGCTGTGGCTGAGTGGTTAGAGCAGTCGTCCTCCAATGCAAGAGTTGGGGGTTCGAATCCACCAGCAGTCACATGTCCAAGTGTCCCTGGGCAAGACACTGAACCCCTCATAGCCTCAGATGTGTGTCCCATCAGTGTATGAATGTGATAAAGCTCTGATTAGTCTCTTTAGAATGATTTGTTCAATTAGTTTTGTACAGATCTAGTATAGAGCTGTATGAATGGGTGAATGAGGCACAGATTGTTGTAAAGAGCTTTGAGTATCTCGATAAGATGGAAAGGCGCTATACAGTCCATTTACCATCTTGTCAACATTTCCAAATAACATTCTTTTCTGTCGTGTCTCCAGGCGCTCCTGTAAACCCAAACCGCCAGGTTCTGGGTGACACCATCATCTTCCGCTCGGTGCAGATTGGAAACAGTGCGGTGTACCAGTGCAACGCCTCCAACCAGCATGGATACCTGCTGGCCAACGCCTTCGTCAGTGTTCTTGGTGAGATTGTGCTTTAAAAATTAAACTGTGAGAAGTGAACTACCGTATTTTTTGGCCTATAATTCGCAGTTTTTCTGCATAATTTACATGCACTGCAAGTTATAGGCAGAAGCGACATATTTATGGATTTTTTCCCATATTTATAAACCATTTTGTGGCTGAGATATGACTGTTTTTATTCATTCTGACTGAAAAAAAATTGAGCAGTATCACTTTCAGCCACTTGATGGCAGCAGAGGAGTAATAGCTATATGGCATGCTGTTGTACCATGTAATAGGTAAACGTGGTTATAATGACAAATTCAAAAAAGTTCAAGACAAAAACAACTGGACTTTATTTATTGTACATACTTTATTGTTTTTGTCTTGAAATTTTTTGAATTTACCATGTCCTGGATGACTGAGAATCTTCATCAGATATTAATGACTCAATCAGCCTGCCATACCCTCCCCACCTTCATTCTGCTCTCTGCTTGGAACAGCTGCACCACCCCGGCGAAATGCAGCTAATTTGACCATTAAAGTGCATTTATTAAGCAAATGTTAGACTGAGACACACCTTTGCTATAATTTAGAGAAACACATAATTGTTTAGGTGCTTTTCTTGTTAAATTTCAGAAGGACGAGCCGCGTTCCTCCCTCCTCCTTTTTCTTCCTTCTGCACGTTCATAGAGCACCAAGGCAGCAAAACTATTTTTGAAATACAGCTGATTTGTCACTCTTTCATGGATGAAGATGTTCACATCCTGGACAGAGAGGAACGATGGTTTGAGAGAGGAGTAAAGGAGGCCATCTTTGTGAAATGAAATCGTCCATCATTAAACAGGGGT